CTGGGGCTGCATGCTGCCTTTAGACCAGGGGCTTCTGTTGAGGTCTCTCTGTACTCCCGTCCTTAGCCAGGTTTGTCCCTTCGTCAAAGGGGAACACGGTGGCTTCCCTGGGTTTCTTCCCCCACGATGAGCATCCCTGTTGCCTGGGTTCCTCATCTGACCTTGACATAGGCTGACTTCTCTCACTGTTGTCACTGTTTATTGTTGATTTTTTGAGGTATAACATACATACAGGAAAATGCACAAATCTTAAGTGTATGGCCTAATGGATTTTGACATATGTTTATACCATGTAACCACCGGTCAGATCAAGACATTGAACATTTCCATTATTCCAGAGGGTTCCCTCATGCCCTTTCCAAGTCAGTACCACCACCACCCCACCCTGCCCCAAGGTAACACTGTAATGACCTCTACCACCATAGGTGCATTTTGCCTGTTTTTGAATTTTATATATACTTTATTTATTTATTTATTTAGGCTGCTCTGGGTCTTAGTTGCGGCACGTGGGATCTTCATAGTGGCATGTTTAGTTGCGGCATGCAAGATCTTTAGTTGCATTGAGGCATGCGTGTGGGATCTAGTTCACCAACCAGGGATCGAACCCTGGCCCCCTGCACTGGGAGCGTGGAGTCTTACCCACTGGACCACCAGGGAAGTCCCATGAATTTTATATATACTCTTCTGTGTTTGCCTTCTTTTGCTTATCATTATGTGTATCAGCCTTCTACTATTATGTAACAAATCACCCCAATATTTAGTGGCTTGAAACAACAAAAAGCAATTCTTTTGCTCACTGATCTTCGTTTGGGCAGGGCTTAGAGGGGATGGTTTGTCTCTGCTCCATGCAGCTTCGGCTAGGGCAGCTTGACTGGGGAAGGTCCATTTCAAGATGGCTCACTTTCATGGCAGGCAAGTTGGTGCTGACCATTAGCTGGTGGCTTAACTGGAGCCCCAGGCCCTCAGTTCTTATCCACATGGGTCTCTTGGGCTTCCTTACACTATGATGGCTGAGTTCCAAGAGAGTGAGCATCCCAAGAGAACAAGGTGGAAGTGCAAGGCATTTTTAGCCTTGCATACCTAGCCTCAGAGGTCACATAGCCTCGCCTTGGCTCTACTCTATTGTTGAGGCAGCCATAAAGGCCTGCTCAGGATCAAGGGGAGGGGACACAGACTGTATCTCTGGATGGGGCATGTGGGAAAGTTCTAGAAGAACATGGGGGATGAGAGATATTGGGGTGCCAATCTGGGGAAGATTCATCCACATTATAACATATATTTGTAGTTTGCTTTTTTAAATGAGGTATAATATTTCATTGTGTGCATATACCACAGTTTACTTATCTAATCTATTACTGACATTTGAATTGTTTGCAGTTTGGGGCTGTTTGAAGAGTGTCACTATGAATATTCTTATACAGGTCTTTCGGTGGATAAGGGCTGCCTTCTCTCACTGTTGCTGTCTCTTTAGCTTTTAAGATTTTAAAAATCATAACAATTCTATCCTTTTATTTTTTTCTTTCCCCATCAGTTACTGTGGCCATATGTATTTTAGTATGTAAATCTCTGCTAGTGTTTTTTAAATGTTGGGAAGAAATTATATAAGTATTTCATAAATATGTTCTCTTTATAAAAACATTCAATATCACAATTAAGATTAAAGTTCCTCCCAACGCCGCTTGCCAAGTTTGAGCCCTTTCCTCCTACCCCGAGGTAACCCCTGTCACCAGTTTGGTGGGTCTCCTTCTAGAGCATTTTTGATGCATCTTCTCACATAAATACTCTCATAGGAAATATTATTTTCTATGTGTGTGTGTTTTGTTTGTTTGGTACAACGAACGGCATCATACAGCTCTGCAACTTGCTCTCTCACTTAAGAAAATATCTTGGAGATATGGCCATGTAGATCTACTTTACTTTTAAACTGCTGAATAATGTTCCATAGTATTATTATGCCACTGCCATTTAGCCATTTCCCTATGAAAGGATATTTAGGCTGTAGCCTTCTTTAACGTTTTGCGTGAGTCCCATGAACTGGAGGGCAGGCCTTGTACACTGTAAATATAGTCAGTGCTTGATCAGTACTGATGCACCCCTTCAAGGAGAGGGTTGCCGGAGCCCTGGATGTGTGTCCCTCAATGTCCCTTTTCTTTGCCTGCAGAGACGTCTCAGAGAGGCTGTGCAGCTGCTGGAAGACTACAAGCATGGGACCCTGCGTCCGGGGGTTACTAATGAGCAGGTAACTCTGCTAGAGGTGGGGAGGGAAAGGAAGGTGGCAAATTCACCACCCCCTCCCTGCAGCCAGAACCACTTCTCTTCCCTTCAGAATCCACTTCTACTGCTGCTACATCCCTTGTGGACTTCTGGCTTTTTGGAAGGGATATTCAAGTCTCTCCTGTAACCTGGGTCTGGTAGGGAGGCTGATAAGGCTAGAGAGGCCTAAGGCAGTAGTTTGCTGGAGCTAACGTGTGCATCTTTTCCCAATCCCACATTCAGTGACATCATAGTGATGGCTTGAAATCATCCACAATAGGAGAATTTACACCATGGAAATTGGCAAATACTATAAATCAGGACTTTTTTCTCAAAGAATCAAGTATTAAACATTTACCAGCATACCACTACCCAAAAGTTCAGATTGAGGGTGGGAAAGATGGGGGAGGATGGTGGGGATGAGGCTAAAACACTGTAATTTCATTTGTAAAAAAATTCTATTTATTTAATTAATTTATTTTTGGCTGCGTTGCATCTTCCTTGCTGCACATGGGCTTTATCTAGTTGTGGTGAGCGGGGCCTACCCTTTGCTGTGGTGCACTGGCCTCTCATTGTGGTGGCTTCTCTTGTTGCAGAGCATGGACTCCAGGCACGCGGGCTCAGTAGTTGTGGTGCACAGGCTTAGCTGCTCCACGGCACGTGGGATCTTCCTGGACCAGGGCTTGAACCCATGTCCCCTGCATCGGCAGGTGGACTCCCAACCACTGAGCCACCAGGGAAGCCCAATTTCATTTTTTTTATATCCTGTAGGAACTTGAATTAGAACTAATTGAAATGTTGATGGTTTTGTTTAGTTTGGGGGAAGGGTAGGGAGATGTAGTTTAGAGTGCAGCTCTAGAGCTCTAGTGACTGTAGAGACAGATGGTTGATGTGCTGAAGTTTTTCTTTTCGTTCATAAGCTTTATTTTAAAATCTATTAAAAATTAATTTCACAGTTTTTTTCAAAGTAATCTATGTGCATAGTTCAAAAAGTCAAAAAGTACTAAAACACTTGTAAGGAAAAATAGTATGTTGCCCCATCCCTCCTCAATTCCCATTTCTATTCCCCAGAAGCAAATACTGTTAGCTGTTTCTTCAGTTAGAAACCTATATTTCAAACTAACATGCTTATCTATACCGCTATTTCTCAAGTAGTTCTTTTGTATTATCTGTTACGGTAGTTGAGGATTCAGCTCTCTTATTATTCACTCCCATAAACACATTTCTCTCCCCTACCCTCATCACCCTCCCCAAATAGTTATCATAGTTTTGGGGTTTATGGATATTCAATATTCACATTATTACAATTATATGAATAATATTACAACTTTGTTGTACATGATTATGTTTCCTCTCCTTTTCGACTTTATGTTTTACCTGGATTTAATAATTGCCTCATTTTTTCTCATTAACATAGTTTTCCTCGTACCATCTGAAATTCTTACTTCACCCTGTAGCAGCCTTTTGATATTTTCAGTGCCTCCTTTCAATCTGAAGACTCCTGTCCTTCAGTTCCATTATTTTTCTCTGAAACTTTCATTTCTGGAGACCACGTCCCTCCAGGCCTTCCTCTTGGTGTACACCTTCATTTTGGTGGAACACCTCTTCTGGTGGCTTCCTGAAGACAAGGCAAATGGGAAGAAAATTTTGAATCCTTTTAGATCTGAAAAAAAGGTAATTTGTAATTGTAATTCTGCACTCAGCTTTAACTGACAGTTTGAGGAGAAAATTCCAATTTTTAGGTTGATAATCATTTTCCTTCAGAATTTTGAAGACATTGCTCTTCTGGCTTCGGGTCTAGCTGTTGAAAAAGCCAATGCTATTTTATTCCTGATTCTTTGCAAGTGACCTGTTTTCTCTCTTTGGGAATGTTTAGGATCTTCTCTTTATCTATACAGTTTATTTCTAAAATTCCACAATGCCATCTCTTTTAAAATTCATTATTTTGGGTTCCTGGTGACCTCTTTCAATCTGAAGACTCCCATCTCTCAGTTCTGGCAACTTTTCTTATACTGTTTCTTTGATAATTTCTTCTCATTCTGGAATTCCTATTAGTCAAATATTCAACATCTTAGATTAACACTCAGATTTTCTTTTCCTTTTTTTCTCTCCTATTCCTTCACTTTGTCCCTCTGCTTGGCTTTACAGGAAATTTCCTTGAGTCTATATTCAACATGTCTATTGAATTTCTAACTTCAGCTAGTATAATTTTAATTTCTGAGAGCTATTTGATTGTTTCTTTTCTTGGTTCTTTTTAACAGGATCCTCTTCCTGTTTTGTAAATACAGTATCTTCTCGTTGGTCTGCATTCTGGAAGCCAAGTAGGGGAAGGAGGCTGGAGTCCCAATATTCACTTTGCAGATTTTCATTAATTTCCCTGCTTTTAGCCTCACCTGCTCCCGCTCTCCACTGGGCTAGTGTTCCCAAGTCTGGAGTCACTTGGATTCAGTTTCTCTAGAAGGTTGATGAACTTCCATTGTCTGGGGGATACAGGTGAGGGCGGTAAGAGTCACCTAGCTGTGTGGGGAAGGCCGAGGGGTTCTACTGCTTTGAATACAGATTTTCAACCAAATCCCTGTGTTTAGCCCTATGATTAACTCTTTGTTCCTGGGGTGCTTGGTCCCTCCAAGTCCTGAACTTTGCTGGTGCCCTGGGGGTGGTGGCCTGGCTTCTTTTTATTTTAAGATTTTTTTTTTTTTGATGTGGACCATTTTTAAAGTCTTTATTGAATTTCTTACAATATTGCTTCTGTTTTTATGTTTTGTTTTTTTTGGCCGCGAGGCATGTGGGATCTTAGCTCCCCGACCAGGGATCAAACCCACCACCCCCTGCATTGGAACGTAAAGTCTTAACCATGGGAAGTCCCATGGCCCAGCTTCTTAAGTGTGCCTTCTGCGGGCATTGAGGGGAGGCTTCCTCCTCTCTGCTGGATCAGTTACTAAAACTCTACTCATTCTCCATCCAAAACATGTTGCTGTCCCTCCGCTGTTGTTGTCTTCTCTTCTGTTCCGTTGGTGACTCTGTGAGACACCGCCCCTGCCTTCTAGCACCTTTAGGTACAAAGCCCAAGCTGAGGCCCTGTGCTGCCACATGACACACTAGTACCTGGTGGGGTGTTCCATAGGGTGGGTAGCTAAGCCATCAGCCCTCCCCAGTCCAGTTTGTTTCACTATGTACTTATGGAGCACCTACAGGCCAGTGTTGGTGCTAGGGCCCGGGGAGAGAGGAGGGGAAAAGCTAGAGGAGGGTCCTGCCTCGTGGACTCCCCAGAATCTAGGCAATGACAGTGAAAGCACATGATGCTGTGGGAGAGCAGAGGGGGGAGTAACCTGCCCAGACTAGGGGAGTCTGGAAGAGATTTTTAGCCAGCCTGAGACTTGAGGGATGAGTAGGGTCTGGTGAGGAGGAGATGGTGGATAGGAGGAGTCCAGGCGAGGAAGCACATCATGGACACAGAGAGGATGGGGCCTCTAGAGAGGAAGGGACAGGCGAATGTGCTGGACTCTAGCCCACAACGTGGAGGGAGGGCAGAGGTGCCAACAGAGGCAGCCCCTTGGCCGATGTCCTTGTGCGGGGCCCTGGAAGTGACGTGAGCTGCTGCAGTGCTGGTAAGGCAGGGTCCATCTTCAGGTGTCTGTGTTGCCTGCTGAGTTGGGGGCAGCCGTCAGCAGGGAGGGCAGGCTGGGATCTCCCCATTCCTGAGCGTGGTGCTGCCCTCTGGCCATGGGCACTGAGGAGCCTGGGTGGTGTGACCTGACACGCCCCTCTCTAGGCCAGAGTAGTCCTCAGACTGTGGCAGTTCCTCGTGGACCTGTCAGGGGTGGTCCAGCCTCCAGGTCCTTCCTGATCCTGTGTCTGCTCCCAGCCCAAGCTCCCCTCTAGCTGTCTTCACCCCTTGGGACTCCTTCCTGCTTTCAGAGTTTGGGGAATGAGGCCATGTTTCCCCTCTTTGCTCCCTTCAGTAGCTTAAAGCTGCCTGTCTTGTTTTCTGGGCCTCCTTTGTTTTCTATCCTGAAAGCCCCCATGTGCCTCCAGGGAGCTGGGAGGAGGGGAGAGGGTGGGGGGGCCCTGGCACTAGCTGTACTTCCTGGTTCTGGCTCACGTCGGTAATGCCTGCAGTGTCCATCTGGAGGCTGGGTAGCACAGTGCTCTAGGTGTGAGCCTGCTGTTCAGTCCCCCAGTAAACAGATTGCCCGTCCCCCGCCCTCCTGGCTCCCCAGAGCATTGGGATTGGGCTCTGCTGCAGATCTCACAGTGCTTCCCTCCCTGGGCCTCACCTGCAGAGCCACAACCCCTCTGGCTTCCAGAGCTACAGGAAGAAAGGATGGGTGGTGACATACCAGCTCAGGATCTGGGGAAGCCTCAGTGGTCAGGAATTCATGAAATCTCCATTCCTGGTTCAGGCTGGCCCTGCTCAAGGGTCATGCCTGTGCTGTCTGAAGAGCACAGATCAGATCATTCTGTGCCAGGTAGATGGAGATGGTTCTTGACTTCATTGTGGAGGGTGGCCTTTTGTGTTCTTGGGCTCTGTGCCTACCCTGATGTCCTTTTGCAGGTGTGTGAGTCAGAAGCCCCTGGCTGTGTCTTGATGCCTGTGGGCCTGTCCTGATGTCACGGGCACCACTGGGTATCCTATGCACTATTTTGTTATCTAACCTGCCCTCCAGTTACAACATCCCACCAGGGGGTTTGTGCAAGCAGATTGATAGTTTATTCCCCCCTGATGGCCTTGGTTAGCAGGTGACTGATATCTCCTCCAGAGACTGTTAACTTGTTGAAAAGTTGCTGTACCGATGAAAAATTAGTCCTGAGGATAAAATAAAAATAAGTATAATTTACTCTTTGGGCTTGACAGGTAGAAATTTGATGGGCTAGGAACCCTAATAAGGACTGCAGCTATCAGTTAAACAACAAAGCCACAGATGAGAGCAAAAACGTAAGCCCAGGCAGCTAAGTTTCTGGATGTTAGCCGTGCTGTGTGCATTTTATATGCCAGGGCCTTGCTGGAATGGTTTGACATGGATGGAGATGGGTGGGGTTCAATATGGAACGCTCCCCCGTGGTAATGAGGCACCACTCACTGTGAGCTCACCAAGGGCCAGGAGCCATGCTAATATTTGCACTTTACAAGTATTAACTCAATTAATCTTCACAGAAACGCTGTTTGGTAGATGCCTATATTAACCCCATTTTAAAGGTAAGAAAAGTGAGGCTCAGAGAGATTATATTACTTACCTCAGGTCACATAACTAGTATGTGGTGGGACAGGAACGCTGGGCCTGGAAGATCCAATGCCCATCTCTCACCCACTATCTGAAGGTGGATTTGGAAGGGAAGGTGATACTCTGGAGTGGAATGTGTATGCTAACACGGGGCAGAGTGAGTGCGGGGGGTAGGGGGGTGCTGTCAGAGGAGCTTGGTGTGTGTGCACGTCTCACAGCCCTAGTCACACTGTGCGGTTAACCCTGCCAGGCCAGGTCATGGGCATCTGCGGGGCACCCGGTACGTGAAAGGCGCTGCAGCAGGTGGGCGCGGGGCAGGTTCCTGCCCTCACGCAGCCAGCTCCCGCGCAGGTGCACAGGTAAGCAGGCGCCTGGAGGTAGGCTGGTGGCGAGGCAGTTTGGAGTACGCTACGGTAGAAGGAGTTCAGTGGTGAGAGACTCCTGAGAACGTAGGTGCTGAGGAAGGGCTTCATGCAGGGGAACGCAAGTGGTTGGATGTAGAATGTAGGGAGAGACCCAAGGCCTGGGAGGGACGTCCCCGTAAGTCACAGACAAAGGCCGAGAAGTAGAGTGGAGAGAGAGAGAGAGAGAGAGAGAGCGTGATGAGAGAAAGAGAGAGAGAGGGAGAGAAGTTGAGAGAGGAAGCTGGGAAGTTTCGGGCCAGGTTGTGAAAGTTTTTGAAACCCAGAGAGATGCTGGCTGTGTTGTACTGCAGCAAGGGAGATGCAGGACAGTGGAACTGTGATCGGATCATTCTGTGCCAGGTAGGTGGGGAGGGGTAATTGCCGATAAGGAAACCAGCTTGGGAGCGACTGGGGTGGTCAGGAGTGAGGGGGGCAGGTCTCTGGGAGCCACCGTAGGCTTCTGAGTGGCTGTTCTGGCCCATCATTACACATTCCCCAGAGACTGGGAACCCGCCCACCTTACTCCGAGCCTACGCAGCACCCAGCATAGCATATTGGTTGCTCAGAGGCCCCATGTAGGATGGATTCTGCCTGCAACCCGCCAAGAAAGGGCAGCAGAGATGTAAGAGATACTGCCAGTCTCCTCCCCTGGCAGAGCAGAAATGGGGTCAGCTGTGTTTGGGCTTTGCTGAAAATAGAAGAGAAGATACTGGAGAGTTAAAAATACTTGCACCCTGAATCTTCTCTGGGTATCAGCAGGATTGTCAGAAGCTTGGCTGACATCCCCCTCTTACCCTGACCCCTAGCCAGAAACTTCTGGGGTCCTGATCAGCGCCCAGCCCCCCTGGGGCAGCTACGTGTTGGCCCTTATCGTTAGCACAAAATAGGCAAGTGATCAGTATTAGCTGAAGCATACGTATGATGTGCTAGGAGTTGTACTGGGTGCTGTAGACTCATCTCTTGGCTGGGTCATTGTGGTGGCCTCCTGGGTGGTCTCCCCATTCTACCTGGGCCCCCTCTGCTCATTCCCAATATAGTACTCAGAGTGATCTGTGAGAATATACATTACACGGTTCTCTGCTCCAGGGTTTCTCGGCCTCAGCACGATTGGCATTTGGGGCTGGATGGTTCTTTGTCGTGGGGGCTGTCCTGTGCACTGTAGGACATTTAGCAACACCCCTGGCTTCTACCCACTGGGTACCAATTAATGACAACCAGACATTACCAGATGGCCCCTGGTGAAAAATTGCCCTCCTGTTAAGAACCACAGCTCTAGTAAAAACTCAGAGTAAAAGCCACAGTCCTTAGCACAAGCTGCAACACCCCAATTCCTCTCTGATTTTGTCTCCTACTACTCTTTCCCTTATTCAGTCCACTTCAGTCACACTGGCCTCCTTGATGTCCCTCAAACATGCTGGGGAGGCCCACTCTGCCTCAGGGCCTTTGCACTGGCTGTTCTGCTGGACAGAATAATCTCCAACCAGATATCTGCACGGCCTCACTCCCTCCTTCAGGTATTTCCTCCAAAGTCACCTCAATGAAAACTACCCTGACCACCTTACTATACATCATCCTACTTGAGAATTTCTCCGGGGAAAGAAAAGTCAAGGGAAGCAAAAGAAGGAGCCACTAGGGTCAGAGGCAGGACAAGAGATGGAATTTTGGGGGTCCATGGCCAGTGGGGGGGATCCAGGGACTAGAGGTGCTTCTGGGGGTGGGGGAATGCAACCTCAGTGTCTCACCCTTCCCTCTACCACCCCAGCTCCAGCCCTGGTCTTTTCACCCCTCTCCCCTATGACAGGAGCTGTGGCCCTGGTCATGTCACTGTGTTCCTGTGTCCCCTAAGTATTCCCCATCCTTCATCCCTCCTTTTGCGAGGACCCTACTGCAATAAATTTTTTTAAAAATCCATCCTTGCTGCTAGTACACACTCCCTATCCTTACCCTGTCCTACTTTCCCATGTTTCTTGAAGCCCTCATCCTTCTAACATATGAGAAAATTTACTTTTTATTATTTTTTTGTTTGTCCACACAAGCATGTGAGCTCTACAGAAGCAGAGATTTTTGGTCTCTTTTTTCACTGATATATTCTTAGTGCCTAGAGCAGTGCCCAGCAAATAACAGGTGCTCAATAAATATTTGTTGGATAAATGAATTTTCTTTAATCGTCACAAGAACCTTGAAAGTAAGTATTCATATTCCTATATCACATATGAGGAAATGGAGGCTCAGAAAGATTAAGTAAATTGCCTCAAATCACAGGTAGGAGATCTGGAATTCCAATTCCCAGAAAATGGTTTGACTGCAGGGTCTGGCCTCTTAAGAGACAGAAGCTGTGTGTACATGAAATTCGCGACTGCTAATGTGTGTTATGTAGCAGAATGAGCGGGGATGTTCCTTCTCCTTTCATCTGTAGAACTGGGGAGTACCTTTGCCCCACATAGATATGCATTTGTATCTATTACCTGGGAGTAACCATGGCAACAAAATTAATGGTGAGGAATAATGGGATTGGCCCAAATGATAAATTAAGAAGATTTCTTGTTGTTTTATGGAGGCATCCTCTGCCTTACAGAAGGATCCCCTTCAGGCTCTGTTTAATTACCTTCTGGAGGTTGTTTTAAATAGGCTCTGTCTTTGCTGCTTCAGAGGTTTGGAGAAGCAGCTTGGAAGGAACCAGACTGGGGAGGGGAAGGAGCCAGACTGGGGACAGGGCCTGGGCAGTGACTCCTCCATCTGGGGTCTGGGCACTAGAGGTCTCTGCCCTGAGAAGGCAGGGCTTCTCCTCCTGAAGCTTGTTTGGGGCCCACTCTCTACCCCTCCCTTGGCTTCTACACTGGGTTTCTAATAGGTTCAGATGGCAGCTCAGCTGAGACTTAGGCCATTTCTGAAATCAGCAAACTTCTGCATTGTTCCAGCAACCTTTCACCCAACTGTTTCCCCACACCTTCTGTGTCCTCATTCTCCAAGTTGAGAAATCAAGAAAGGTCCAAAGTCTCACATCCACAATGGTTTGTTGCTGCAGCCAGTAAGTTCTAAGGGATCAGGGTTGCAATTTTTAATGTTCAGCCAGAGGCCCAGAGAGAGATGGCTGAGCCCAAAGGAGATCAGGTCACACTGAGGAATTGTACTTTAAAGTGGAGCTGCTTTGGTGGGCTGACCGAAGACACGGGGGCCTCCCTGTCCTAGATTCTCAATGTGGATGGACTGTCCATTGCATCTCCTTTGGCCTCTCATCAAATGCTTTACATTCCAGGACTATCCTTGCTTGTAACCTGTTTGCAGGGCTGGCTCATTCAACTGCAAACTAGCAACCAGCTCTTGGCTTGTGGGTGGTATCTGCTACCATTTCTGCATCCAGCATCTGACCCATGGGTCCAGCAGGTCCCAGGGAAAAGCCCAGACCCGAAGAGTCAGACCCGAGTCCTTGTCCTGTGCTCTCTGTAAGCTGGGCCTGGCATCATCAGATGAGAAGGGACCCTGGAGGGACTAGCTTCCACCTCCTGTATGATTAATTCAAAAAAACAATGTAAGTCTAAGGAGTGAGGTGACTCGCACAGGAAGACCATGTGAGTTAGTGGCTAAGCCAGGCCCCAAATCTGCGACCCTGACTGTTGTTGCTGCAGCCTGGAGATGGGATGAACCCAAATGAGATCAGGTCGTGACTAGGCAGTTTAGTTTAAAATGGAGCTGTCCCTCCCACCTCACCCCAAAACCTCCTGAGGTGGGAGCAATGCCAGATGCCATGAGAAGAGCCTCAACACTACTTAGTGCTCATTCCTTCCTCCCTCCACTGGAAAGGCTTCTCTGACATCATGGGAAACAGTTTCCCAAAACCCCAAATGGGTTACCTTAGTTAGGGCTCTACTAACTGCTGTAATGAAATGATCTCAAAACACACCAGCTCAAATAAGATAGACGTTTATCTCTCTCCCATGTAATAGTTTGAGTTCCAGGTGGGCAGGTGGCTCTGCTCCACAGGATCATTCAGGAACCCAGGCTCCTTCCATCATGTTTCTCCACCATCTCCTTGGGTCCTCCTCTCTGCACAGCCCAGGCTGCACTGCAGCCACATCCTTGCTCTGGCTCACAGGCAGGTGACAGCAAGTATAGGCTGGGAGGTGCTAGCCAGGCTAAGGCACATCTCACTTCCCCTCGGATGCCACTGGAGGACTCAGTCACATGGATAAGCCTAACTGCAAAGGAGGCTGGGAAATGTAGTGCAGCAGGTCAGCCACCTGCCCGCTACCTTTCTATTACTGTGGACGAAGGGGCATAGGTTTTGTCGGAAAGTTAACAGTCTATGCCATAGAGGTCAGTAAGGGGCTTGGAAGTTGTGCCTGCTATTTCTCTTTTTCTAGTGGTTACTCTTAAATTTTTAACAATCATTTTTGAGTGGGTAACACGTGAACAATCTACGGAATTCTAAAGCTATCAAAAAAGTATAGAATAAAAAATAAGTTTCCGCAAGAGGGAAGAGATACAGGGACATATGTATATGTATAACTGATTCACTTTGTTATAAAGCAGAAACTAACACACCATTGTAAAGCAGTTATACCCCATAAAGATGTTAAAAAAAAAAAAAGTTTCCCTTTCCCTGTCTCCCCGTTTCCCACTTCTCCCTAGAGTAACCATCAGCTTCTTCTGTATCCTGCCAGAGATATCTGCATACATTTGTCCTTTTCCTTTAAGTGCTAATGATATAATAGTGATAACTCCAGGGACATTCAGTGGAGCATGGTTGTAATAGCAAGAAATGGGACAGTGACAAAAGGACAAATATTGTATGATTCTACTTATATGAAATATCTAGAGTGGTCAAATTCACAGAGACATAAAGTAGAATGGTAGTTGCCAGGAGCTGAGGGAAGGAGTACTGGGGTGTTAGTACTTACTGGGTACAGCATTTCAGTTGGGGAAGATGAAAAAATTCTGGAGATGGTTGGTGGTGTACAACAATGTGAATGTACTTAATGCTACCGAACTGCCACTTAAAAATGGTTAAATGGTAAATTTTATGTTATTTATATTTGACCACAATAAGGAAAATATGAGAAGTAGCTTAAAAGTCCACCAATAGGGTGCAGTTTACAATATATTCATTCAACGTTTCTGTTAGGAAGAATAAGGCTGCTCTCCATGCTCTGATGTGGAAAGATCTCCACATATATATACTAGATGCCTAAAGGGACAGAACAGTGTGCACTGGTATGCTAGCATTTAGAGATGGCACATGGGGATTCAAGAGCGGGGGTTATGGAACCAGACTGCTCGGGTTCAAATCCCAGTGCTGCCATGGGATTGTGGGCAAATCACTAAATATCTCAGTGCCTCGGTTTCCACATCTATAAAATGGGAGATATACTGGTCCCTGCCTCATAGGGTTGTTGAGGAGATTAATAAGTTAATATGTACAAAGCCCTGAGAAAGGTGTCTGACACATAGCACTTATTCACTAAATGTGACTGAATGCGTCTGCGTCCCAGGCCACGAGCTGTAGTTCTGGCTCCACCTCCGAGACCCTGGGCGTAGCTCTGAGCTTTACATTTCTCATCCGTCCTATGGAAACAGATTTCTGAGTGTGAGACTCAAATAGTTAATGGGACCATTGCCACTTATCTGTGACACTAGCCGGCCTGGGCCGTGTGTGGTGGTGTCATCGCAGTTGGAGAACACGCCTGTGAGCTCTGGGCTTCTGGCCTTGCCTGCTCACACCCCTGCTGAACTTCTGCCTTTGCTGCTGAGCTGGTGCTGCCTGAGTCTCCATCACTGCTCTCTGGGTGGGGGCGGAGAAGGCAGCCCTTGAACCTGAGGGACACAGATGCAGCTATGGATTACAAGGGCTGCTTGGCTGGACTTGGGTGGGAGGGGAGGAACAGGTGCTGGGGAGGAGCGTCTGCTGCCCGGCTGCAAAGGGAGGTTCTGGGACCTCAGATGATGTCAGCCAAACTTCTTCCTCTTCTCGTGCCTCAGGCCTGGCTGTCACCCTGGCCAGACCAGACATCGGTGTGCTCCAGAGGGCCCCTGGAGAACAGGGGGGACACAAGTCTGGAGGCAAGGAGGCTTGGGTGCCCATCTCCATCCTGCCACCAGGCCCCTGGAACCATGGCTGAGTCACTTAGTCTCTCTGAGATGAGTTGCTTTGTCTGAAAGTAGTCTACCCACCTCACAGGCATGTTGTAAGAATAAGACAATAGAGATGAAGTTATTTTGAAAAATAATTAAGTCCTTTTAAAAAATACTGCTCGGGCGTCCCTGGTGGCGCAGTGGTTGAGAGTCCGCCTGCCGATGCAGGGTACATGGGTTCATGCCCCAGTCCAGGAAGATCCCACATGCCACGGAGCGGCTGGGCCCATGAGCCATGGCCGCTAAGCCTGCGCGTCCGGAGCCTGTGCTCCGCAACGGGAGAGGCCACAGCAGTGAGAGGCCCGCGTACCGCAAAAAAAAAAAAAAAAAAAAAAAAAAATACTGCTAATTTGACTGACTTCCCCTCTATGTTAGGCATTTATGGAGCATGATCTAGGGGCCAAGTATTTCAGCTATGCGTGTTTCAGTGAACCTCTGTATCAGTCAGTATAAGCCAAGTGCTTGTAACAAACAACCCCTGGATTTCAGGGACTTATACAGTAAGGTCTGTTACTCACTCATGTCAGAGTCCAGTGCAGCTCAGGAACCTGGCACATGCCGTTGTCCAGGAGCCAGGCTCCTTTTACCTCTTGGCTTTACTGTCTTCTAGGGCCTCATTGTCCTCCTCTGGATCCTCTGTGGGAGGCTTTGGGGCCAAGCCTGGAAGTGGTGAACTCCACTTCCACCCACAGTCCATTAGCTAGAACCCGGCCATGTGAGGCCATCTGACTGTGGGGGAGGGTGGAACACATAGACTTAGCTGTGTGCCCAAAGTGAAATGCCAGCTGCCAGGAGCACCAAGCATAGTCCCCGCCCTGCCCTTACAGCACCCCATTGTACTAATGGAGAAACTGAGGCATGGAGGCAAAGTAATTTGCCCAGGGCCACACATCCAGTAAGTGATTGGAATGCAGGCTGCCTGGTCCTAACACCTGCTCTTTACACTGTTCTTTAATGTCTTAGATCAGTGTTTTCAGCCCAGGCTGTTCATCAGAATCATGGAGATTTTTTTTCTTTATTTATAAGAATTGTATGCAGAGATCTTGAGTTTTTTAAAAAATAAATAGCTTTAGATTTGCTGTGTGCATGGCTCTAGGAGATGGTGGGGGCTGGCACTCAAAGGCAGGCCCCTGCTCTGAGGGGCTGGGCTATGACTGTACGAGGTGAGGGGACCCGGACCCAGGAGATTCTGATTTGGGGTGGAGAGTGTCGGGTGTTAGGAGTCTGTGCCCAGGGCCCGGGGTCACACCTGGGATGATGCTGGGACGTGGTGGGATGCACTGCAGAAGGCACTTTCTGAGCAAAGAAAGATCAACCTTTTATCATTTTTTTTACCTCTCTGCTGTTATGCTCTCACATACCGTCTTTGGCTAACAGTGATTCTACATTTGGTTTTTCTTTCTTTAGTCCCCTCTGTTCCTCAAATATAATTAAGAAAAAAATCTACTGCCTCTAATCTTTCTGGGTCTGGAATAGCAGACAATCAAATATGTTTGAAATGTATCTAAAACCAGAGTGATTAGGCTGTGAATTAGGCTTAAGGGACTGCTGTTAGTAAAATGCATAAACTTTAATACAGATGGTCCTTGACTTATGATGGCTCAACTTACAATTTATAGACTTTATGACGGTCTGAAAACGATATGCATTCAGTAGAAACTGTACTTTGAATTGTGAATTTTGATCTTTTCCTGGCTGGTGTTACGTGGTCTGATACTCTCGTGCTGCTGGGGAGGCAGCGAGCCGCATTTACCAGTCAGCCGCGAGATCGAGAGGGAAACCACCCATACACTTAGAACCATTGTGCACCCACACGACCAGTCTGTTTTTCACTTTCAGTACAGTATTCAATGAACTACATGAGATATTCAGTACTATATTATAAAGTAGCCTCTGTGTTAGATGACTTTGCCCAACTGTAGGCTAATGTAAGTGTTTTGTGCACATGTAAGGTGGGCCAGGCTAAGCTATGACGTTTGGTACTTTCGGAATGTTAAATAATTTCAACTTACAATGGGTTTATTGGCACATAACCCCACTGTAAGTTGAAGAAGATCTGTATATCAATTTTATAACTCTATTATTGCTACCCAGTAGCATTCTGCAGCTTACTTTATATCGCAGATGACAACATTGCCGTATAAATGAAACATAACTATTCCGTTATAAAACTTTAAACATCAATGCTGACCACGTCTCCCCTCTTACCTCATACCCTTCTTGCTCTGTTAAAAATGCACTGGCCTTTGGTTTGCCCACAATGTAAAATTTTACTTGGTATATTTTCTTGATTCTAAAAAGGCTATTTTATCACATTTTATCATCTCTTAAACGGGATGAATCTTTTAACTGATGGACGTCTTGGCGTTATGCCACCGTTTTCTTTTTTTTTATTTGGCGGTTCGCAGGCCTCTCACTGTTGTGGCCTCTCCCGTTGCGGAGCACAGGCTCCGGACGCGCAGGCTCAGCGGCCATGGCTCACGGGCCCAGCCGCTCCGCGGCATGTGGGATCTTCCCGGACCGGGGCACGAACCCGTGTCCCCGGCATTGGCAGGCGGACTCCCAACCACTGCGCCACTAGGGAAGCCCTTTTTTTTTTTTTTTTTTTAATTAATTAATTTATGGCTTCATTGGGTTTTCGTTGCTGCATGCGGGCTTTTCTCTAGTTGTGGCGAGTGGGGGCTCCTCTTTTGTTGCGGTGCGGGGGCTTCTCATGGCGGTGGCTTCTCTTGTTGGGGAGCATGGGCTCTAGGCACACGGGCTTCAGTAGTTATGGAACGCGGGCTCAGTTGTTGTGGCTCGTGGGCTCTAGAGCGCGGGCTCAGTAGTTGTGGCACATGGGCTTAGTTGCTCCACAGCATGTGGGATCTTCCGGGACCAGGGCTCAAACCCGTGTCTCCTGCATTGGCAGTCAGATTCTTAACCACTGCGCCACCAGGGAAGCCCCATAGTTTTCTTTCTTAGTGGCGCATAATAGTATGTCTTAGGATCAACGATGTCTTAGAGTCAATGAAATGCAGTATTTTTATCATTTGAAGGAATTGACAAATTGTTCTCCAGCCCAACCCCATGCTGTGCTGGAAGAGACAACCTCCTCATTCATTTGAAAGCACACAACCTTCTTATAACAATAACAAAAATAGGAATAATAATATCTACAAGATTTAGCACTTGTAAAGTACCTACTATGTGTTCAGCACTGCTCCAGGCACTTTTCATATGCCTCTTCAACAATGTTGGAGCACAGCTATTAACCCCATTTTACAGATGAGGAAATTGAGGCTCAGAGGTAGAAGTGGCGAATCCAGGGATCCAGGCAGTCTGTGTAGCTCTGAAAAATTATGCTGTGCTGCCTCTAGTGATTCTGGGAGACAGCTGAAGTATCTTCATTTAAATCAGGGCTTCTTACCTGGCCACACCTTAAAATGAACTAGGGAGCGTTAGGAAAATGCTGGAAGAATTCTTCAAGTAATTTTACGGCACAGCCAGAATTGAGAACCCTCGGTTTAAATAATCTGTGTGAGATCCCCCAGCTGGATCTCTTGGTTAGAAAATGTGGCTTTGAGACCTTAAACTGATACGTGCTTTTAATCTTTGTTTTTTCTTTTCTTTTCCTTTCTCTCTCTCTTTCCCTTCCTTCCTTCCAGCTCTGGAGTGCACAGAAAATCAAGCAGGTAATTCAATTTTGGATTCTTTTCCTTCCCTTCTGCTGTTCTCAGAGACCCTGCCCTGCCCTGCCCTGGCCCGACCCCCCTTCTTTCTTCCCTAGCACCAGGGTCTGAATTTCTGAAGACTAGAGCTCAGGTCAGCCTGCCTCTCCCTGGGCCCCCTGACCTCCTTCCCCATGGGCTCCTTCCACAAAACCCTTATTGTGGGCCTGTTGTGTGCGTGGCATGGGGGACAGAGGGCCTGCAAGGTAGACATGGTCGGCTCTGTGCTGCATTCAGCTTTGAGCACTAGTTAGGAGGAGAAGCTCTGTTTATGGCCCATGTTTGGTTTTCTCTTGCCCCGAGTGGTGGGAAGGATTGACTGGCCACAAGGCAAGGTGGGATACAGCCATTGGCCACCTAAGTCTTCCTGGGGGAGCTGTCCTCCCCCTCCCCCCTCCCATGTGCCATCTCCCTCCCCAGCTGTCACCCTGTGCTCTGTTCCCGGCTCTTGCCAGGCTATTCTACACCCGGACACCAATGAGAAGATCTTCATGCCCTTTAGAATGTCAGGTAAGCCCTTGGGAATCTCTGGTTCTGCCTAGCCTGGGCCGATTACAATGGTCACAGCTCCAGGAGTGTCCAGATGCGCTTGGCCTGAGGGACGTACAGAGCCTGTTACACACACGACCACACTTGCACCTGCATGGTCACTTTGGCTCAACTGTACAGGACTGGCCAGCCTATGGAGCTTTTAAAATGTGCCTGTCTGCCTTTTCTGCCTGAGCAGTTGGGGTAGAATCGAGGCCTCCACAGGTGAATCTGGTGCCCCCAATGCCAGGTTACACCCCATTCACTCAGCAGCAGCCCCAGGGTGACGCCTTCTAGGGCAAGCCCTGCCTTCCATGAGCCACTCCTCTCTTACCTGTGCACACTGAGTGCCTTCCTTCCAAGCCCTGCTCCCTACTCAGCCTTTTCATGCAGTTAACCCCCAGACTAACTCCCTTGTCTCTGATCCTACTTTTAGCCTGCCCTTCGGAATGTATGCACTACATTTGTACCACTACACACACAGGGAGGCGGATTCCTGTTCTGTGGAGACCAGTGGGTAGAGAGGGTAATGGAAGAATGGGTATAAGATCCCTGCCCTCAGGAAGTCCCTGCCCTGTGGTCACTAGAGGGACAGCTCTGTTATGTAGAGCTTAATGGCCTAGAAAGCACTTGCCCATACACTGGCTGGGGCCGGCGTGGTTGTCCTGCCTACGGTTCTGAGAGGCCAAGGGCTTTGTCCAGAGTCACACAGCGGAGGTCAGACTCACACCAGCGTGCTGATGCCTCCTCCGTGCCGTTTCTCAGTGCGACGGAGTGTACCCCCCACCCCTGAGTCACAGGGCGGGTGGGAGGGCTGGTGGCTGCTGCCTTGGGAAGCCCTCAGGCGGCTGGAGGAAGGGTCCCTACCAGTGGGTGTTCTCAGTCCGGGAGGTTAGTCAGGGTCCCCCCCCTCAGAGAGCCTGAACTCATGGGGCTGAGAGAACAGACAAGCACATGATGTCATTGTGCAGACGCGCAGTTAGTGTCCGGTGACCCTTGCTTTGCCGTAAGGAACTCCAAGGCGGTGAAGGCTCTCGTAGCTGCGGCTGTAGGTCCTCCCCAGTGCCTGCGTGGGGCCATAGCAGGCTCTCCCCCCGAGACTGGCTTATTCTGCGATTCTCTGATCAGTCTTTGGGCCTCTCCCTGGAGGGGTGCAGGTAGGAGAGTGGCGGCTCATGTGTACAAATATGCACACGCAGGATACCAACCTTTGCTCTAGACGTAACCCGTGCAATTGTGGTTCCCTGCTGCTGGGCCACCAGCTGACTGGCTGCTGTAAGTTAGTGGCTGGGACAGGAGGATGCTCACCTACAGCAGTGAGGCTGGGGGAGGGGGCCTTGCCATAGCCTGGGGGCCCTGAGCCGTGGGGAGACGGCCAGGGCCCAGCTGCACTTCATGCCAGCCCTTTCCTGCTCTGCTGAGATGTCCAGCCAGGGCCCTAGAGATTCAAAGAGCTCTGGCACTTAGAGGCACACATCTCAGGTGGTAGGGAATGCCCTTTCCAGAAATAGTCATGAAGCTGGGAAAGTAAGGGTGTGTTTTAGAAAGACAGGCTGAGGGAAGGAGGAGGACATCCCAGGGCCTCCAGAGACATTGTGGTGAGGTTGGCGGGGCTTCGTGGCTCCCGGAGGAAATCGTGGGAGGACCACCAAGTGCAGAGTGGCGGCGCCCCGGCCACGGGCGCCTCCTTCAGGAGTGGGCCCCTGGCTTTGGGGGCGAGTGAGGACTGAGGGGAACAGAGACAAGGAGGTTGGGGGGACACAGGGGAGCCCTCTGTCTTGGGGAGGGCTGGGCTGGGAAAAGGTCTGGGGCTAGAGGTGCCTCCCGCTTAACTGACCTGAGCCCTCTCCCTGGGGCCACTGCCAAGGCCAAGGCCAGAAGTCTCTCTGGCCTCCCAGTTGAAAGGCAGGTGGGGCAGAGTCAGGTGGGATTATAAAACCCGACTCTTCTCTCTGTCCTCTCACAGGTTACATTCCTTTTGGGACGCCAATTGTAAGTATTACCTTCAAAGGGTTTTCTTTTCTAAAAAAAAATTTTAATGTATAACTTTACATCGCTGTTCATAAATATTTGAGTTGTTGATTTAGGATAAATTCCTGGAGGGGGCTCACTGGAGAAAATATCATATATTTCTTTTTAATTCTCTTGATGTGTATTGTCAGACCTCTTTCCATAGAACGTGTGCCAATGTACACCCAACAGGGCCTCAAAGTGCCTGCATCCCTGTATATTTCCCATTTCAAGTATTGTCGTTAATTAGGACATGCTGGTTTGATTACAGGGAAGTTTTCCCAGAAAGCTTGGGAAGTCGGAAAGTAAGGGTGCCTTCTGAAAACTGGAAAATTCAGCATTATTTTTGTTCTGTTTTGAAATCAGGATTAAGCTTACTGTTAATCTTTTTATACTGGAGCAAAACAAATGTACAGAAAGGGTGCATTTGTCATAAATGTACAGCTTGATAAGTTTTCACAAAGTGAGCTCATCTAAGTAAATATCACTTAGATAAAGATATAGTGCATTACCAGCGTCTCAGATACCTCTTATGTACCCCTCTCAGTCACTAACCTCACAGGGAACCACTTTTCTGACTCCTTCCTTCATTATATTCTCATTTTGCCTGTTATTGAACTTTATATAAATGGAATCACTTACATAAATGTACTTTTTGGGGACTTGGCTTCTTTCACCCAATTGTTTATGAGACTTACTGTTAAATATAGTATTACCTTGTTCTTTTTCATGGCTGTATAATATTCCACTGCTATAACTATATAGAAATTTCTTTATTCATCCTACTGTTGGTAGACATTTGGGTTGTTGCCAGTTTGGAGTTTACAACAACATGCTTTGAACATGATTGTACAAGTCTTTTAGAGGATATATATAGAGATACACACACACACGCACACACACACACGCGCACACACACACACACACACACACACACACACACACACACACACCTACACACATCCTCATTTCTCTTGCATTGTACCGAGGAGGCTAAAGAGATAACAACTAAATGTGGGATGTGATCCTAGAATTGGGATTGGGATCAGGGCAGGCGTATGTGGAAAATGGTATTGCAGTTTCTTATAAACGTACACTACAATGTGAGCCAGCAATCCTACATTTAGGTATTTACTTCAAGAGAAGTGAATACATATGTCCACACAAAGATCTATATATAAATGTTTATAGTAACTTTTTTTCATCTTAGCCTAAAGCAGGAAACAGACAAGAATGACCAACAGATGTTAAAACCACTAAGTGAAAAACTGATAGGGAACAGGATATTTACCTAGTCTGAAAGTTTCCTATATATTTCATAAATATCATTCATTCTATGTTTATTAATTGGCAGCCTCCTGTAAATAAGGGTCTTCCCTTCTGCCTCCCATTTTCTTGTTTTTTAAAACTATCAGTATGGTCTTGTATATTTTTTGTATTCAGTGGATAGTAATTTACTTTTTTCATTATTCATTTTTATATACAAATTGTGCCAAATTTGACCAATAGAAACCCTTTAAAGCAATTTCAGTGTCCATTTGACATGTCTTTTTTATGCTATGAGTATGTACGTCAATACTTTCTGGCACAATGTATGGATATTCCAAACTCATCTTGTAGTTTCTCTGCCCCATTTCTCCAAAGAGCCCTGGTTCCTTTTAGAGGGGAATGGTATTGAGGAACCAAAATCTGGATAGTTAGGTGTGCTCATTGTTACTGGTGTGTCATTGTTTCTAGGCCCTCTGAGCAGACAGAGCTAGGACATACAACTTTTTAAAAATCATGACTACATACTAATACCTCTAATTTCAATCCAACATCTCAGAGTTCTTCCCCTCCTTCCAGTCCATATCTACGTCTTCCTTCTCCCTGAATGAGAATACGACAACAATGTATTTATTCAGTTACTAAATCTTATATACACAAATAAAAGAATTTCAGAATTGCTACATTAATGCCACTCAAACATGTATTAATCCCCCCCCGCCAAATGTATTAAGTAAAGCTTGAGATTTCTTTGAAGTTCTTTTTGTCTGTTGAATAGATCCTACTGAGAGTATATAGTCAGAGAATTGTGTTCAAAAGTTATTTGAATTAAACAAAAGTTATTTGAATTAATTATTTTCTTCTGTGTGTATATGTTATTTATATTATATACAGTTAGGTTTATTCATTTCTGTTGCCACTGAATTTCAGATGTTTCCCCATTCTTATTGATTTATTTTGGGAACTATATAAAATGTCAACATAGTTCAAAAGTCAAAAGCTATGTAAAAAAGGCATAATAAAAGTCCCATTTCCCTCTCTATCCCTTCTACCTCCTTCCCACCCATCCTCTCTAAGTAAATATTTTATCCTTCCTATTTCTTTTTGTAAAAATAAGCAAATACAAATACATTTCCCTTTCTTTTTTCTATAAAAGGTACCATATTATATAACCCTTTTGTGCAATGTCTTTTTTTTGCTTAATGACATATCCTGGAAATCAAAATGTATCAGTTTATAGTGATCGTCCTCATTCTTTTTTTTTTTTAAATAGCTGCGTAGTAATATACTACATGGAAGTACCATAATTTATTCAACTATTTTCCTACATATGGACATTTAGACTATTTCCATTATTTTGCCAATATGAATAATGCAAGAATAGATAGTCTTGTGCATGTATTTTGATATTGTTGGAGATATATCTTGAGGGTAACTTCCTAGCTTCTATGTAAGGACTAATTAAATAGACATTTCTGGCAATACTGGGCAAGAAAAAAGAGAGAAGATACAAATAAAAAATACTAGGACTAAAAAGTATAATAATTACAGATATAATAGAAGTTTAAATGATCAAAATACATTGAACAATCTGGGGCAGGAAATTTGAAGACTTAGGAAAATATGGATACATTTCTGAGAAAGTACAGGTTACCAAAAACTGCCTAGCAAGGGGAAATATAGAATTTGAAAAGACCTGTAAATAGAAAGAAATTAGATCAGTTGCTTAAAATATATGCACCAAAGAAGTAACAAACAAATCAAAAATTACCACTAGGCTCCCATGATCTTTCAGGTGACTACACTCAAAGGAATAGCCAAACTCAATCTTTACAAAACTCTTTAAAGAGAATAAAAAAGAGGAAATATTCCCCCAATTCATTTATGAGGCACTTTGAGACCAATACCAAAGAAGTTAGTATGAGAAAGAAAAATTATAGGCCAATATCACTTACGAAATTACACATGGTCTAAATGAAATAATAGCAAGTTGAATCCAGCACTGTATTAAAATATATCAAAAAAGATTTACCAAGGGGCTTCCCTGGTGGTGCAGTGGTTGAAAGTCCACCTGTCGATGCAGGGGACGTGGGTTCATGCCCTGGTTCGGGAAGATCCCACATGCCACGGAGCGGCTGGGCCCGTGAGCCATGGCCGCTGAGCCTGCGCGTCCGGAGCCTGTGCTCCGCAATGGGAGAGGCCACAACAGTGAGAGGCCTGCGTACCGCAAAAAAAAAAAAAAAAAAAGATTTACCAAGAATGGTAATAGAGAATGTATTAATATAGTTCATCACATTAACAAATTGAAGGAGAAACATGATGATCTCAGTAGATACAGAAAAATCATTTGATAAAACATAACTCCATTTATAATATTTTGTAAAAGAGAAGGTTAGTTAGGTCTAAAAGGGAGCTTCATTAACTTAATACAGTATCTGTCAGAAAAAAAAAAAAAACCCAACCCCATAGCAAGAACCATTCTTAAAGATGAATCAGATAAATGTAAAATCTTAATGTCTGGGATAGGGTAAGAATGCCTGATAGTAATGCTTCTATCCAGCATTTTCCTAGGAGACTAACAAGTACAATAAGACATGAAAAAATAAATGACCAGTATTAGGATTGGAAAGGAAGAAACAAAATTTTTCATGAGAATAGGCAAACTATTGGAACTACTATTTTATAAGATTTCTGGATGTAAGACAAGTATACAAAATAATTGCTGTATGCCTATAAACCTATAACAAACATCTAGAACATGATATTTTTTTAAAAAAGAAAGCATTTATAATAGCACTTAGAATGATAAGTTACCAAAAATAAATTCAAGAAAGGATGTGCAAGATCTTTATGGAAAAACTTATAAAACTTTATTGAAGGACATTGGAGATCTAAATAAATGGAGAAATATATCACCTTGGGTGGGAATATTCGTTATCATGAAGATACCCATTTTCTTCAAATTATATTTAATTATATTCAATAAAATTCCAATCAAAATCTCATCAGGATTTTTCATGGAACTTGACAAGTTGATACTAAAAATTATATGAACAAGCTAAGGGCCAAGAACAGCCAAGACAATTTTCAAGAATGAGGTGGTGGGACTTCCCTGGTGGCACAGTGATTAAGAATCCGCCTGCCAATGCAGGGGAAGTGCGTTCGATCCCTGCTCCGGGAAGATCCCACATGCCACGGAGCAACTAAGCCCGTGTGCCACAACTACTGAGCCTGCGCTCTGAAGCCCGCATGCCACAACTACTGAGCCCACGCCCCGCAGCTACTGAAGCCCGCGCGCCTCCAGCCTGTGCTCCGCAACAAGAGAAGCCACCAAAATGAGAAGCCCGTGCACTGCAACGGAAACCCAACGCAGCCAAAAAAAAAAAAAAGAATGAGGTGGTAAGAGGAGAGTCACCCTACTAAGTTGTATAAGACAGTTTGGTTTTGGTTTGGAGATAAGCAAATAGATCATTGCAACAGAATAGAAAGTCTGGAAACATGCCCATACCCATATGGAAGCTTGATATTTGACAAATCAGTGCAGAAGAAGGATGGACTGGACCATCTAACAAATGGTGCTACCTATGTGAAAAAGAAATAAAATTAGATTTCACCTCATACACAAAACACATTAAATATGAAAAGAAAATATTTGCAGCACTGTTTATAATAGCAAAAAGAAAGGAAACCACTGAAATGTCCATCAAGAGAATGGA